ACTCACATACATAGGTTGAACTGGTTAAAAACTGAGCTCATGATATTTCCTCCCACCCGTGCACCTTGCCCCAACCCCTCCCCTCATGCCAAGGTCCTAGGTGCCATCCTTGACTCAGACCTCACCTTTCTTCCCCACATCCAATCACTATCCAAATCCTGCCGCCTTCACCTTCGTAACATCTCCAAAATACGCCCCTTCCTCACCAAGGAAACCTCAAAACTACTCATATACTCCCTTTTTATCTCTCGTCTTGACTATTGTTACTCCCTCCTCATTGGCCTTCCACTACACAGGATATCCCCCCTTCAGTCTATCATGAATGCAGCTGCTAGACTCATTCACTTGACCAACCGCTCAGTGTCTGCAACCCCCCTCTGGCAATCACTACACTGGCTTCCACTCGCCCAGAGGATAAAATTCAAAATATTAACAGTCACTTATAAAGCCATCCACAACTCTGCCCCCGGATATATCTCAGACCTTGTCTCAAAATATCACCCTAACCGGCCACTCCGCTCTTCCCTAGACCTCCTGTTTTGCAGCTCCCTAGTCAACTCCTCCCATACTCACCTCCAGGGCTTCTCTGGAGTCTCTCCCATCCTCTGGAAATCTTAACCCCAACCTGTCCGTCCATCTCCCACCTTGACTGTCTTTAGGCGTTCCCTAAAGACTCATCTCTTCAGGGAAGCCTATCCCACCTCAACCTAACCACTGAACCATCACATTCTCAACTAATTCATCCCCACACAGCTACCTCCTCATCTATCATTTCCCCTCCTCTTTTAAATTGTAAGCCCTCAGGGGCAGGGTCCTCCTTACCATCTTGTCTTGAATTGAATTGTAATTGTAATGTCTTCCTTATATTGTAAAGCGCTGCGCAAACTGTTGGCGCTATATAAATACTATGTAATAATAATAATAATAACTGGATGGACCTTGGTCTTTATTCAAACTTACATACTATGTATGCTGTTTGTGTTACTTTAAAGACTCCAGTAAAATGTGAAAATAATCCTTGGAGGTACATACAGGGCACATAGTATGCCTGTTGAGTAGTACAGTTTTTTATCGATATATTACTGAACTGCACCAGTGCTTCCATTTTGTCTATAGTTTGGTGATCCTGGAACATACCTGCTGGTGATGTTGCAACACACTTTAATGCCTCTACTACTCAGACAAATGTAAAAAATACTGTTACCAAAAAGTTTCTCCCAACCACCAATTAGATTCAAATCTTCCTAAAGCTGGCCATACACCTTACAATTATCAGATGGAAAAGGTGCACCTTTAGAATTTTGAATGTGGTTGATTGTGCAGGTAGCAAAAGGAGGGAGAGGAAGAGAGAGAGAGAGGAAATTAATCAGTACTTTCTTCAAGAAGTACAACCCTGCTCGTGTGCATTCTGTAGGGATAGTGTCGGTAGCTCAAATAATTATTTCACTTGATGCCTGGAATTGCTGTTTAACATTCTGTAACTGAAAAAGAGCAAAAATGCATACATTTCCAGAAAGCACGCTATCTTGAATCTTGCCAAGGAATGTAACTGACATACTATATGACAAATGTTAACTGCAGTTTTCTTGCAGTCAAGCATCAATCATTTTGACATTAATTTGTGCACATGAGTTACATGATCTGCACTGCCATTATTAAAATCAGCAGGCTAATCCACATTGTTTTGTGTTTTACTTATTTATATTTTACCCAAAACAGATTATACCTCTCGCCTCGGGTTGGGTTACTTAATATAATCTAGCCTTAATAAATCAGTCCAATTCTTAAAAAAGTGATGTCCCTTTTGGAAAATATCCATATTGCAATATAATAGCTCAGGACATAACCGCGGTAATTGGAATTGTTTATGATCGTCTGAAAACTCTGATAATGTTGTGTTGTTTTATTACATAAATAAATACTGCATTAGGAAAGTCTTCTTTCTGGTAAAAGCTCATACATTGTGAAATTCTTGTCCAGAAACAAAATATGGTAACACTTGTTAATTAAACAGGTTGTCACTGCTCTAGACGTGATGATGAGTTTGGTTTATGATAATATATTTTCACATCTTTACAACATTTAAAATTTCAGTTGTTATTATATTTACCTTATTGTTGAGGTAACCATAAACTGTTAATGGGAAACTGACAATTATGGAAGAAAATGCTAGTATATCTAAAAGTAATTGGTGTGAGCACAGTTCGTGGTGGACCATACAAATATTGTAAATGAGCTTTACAGTGAGACTTATTTACTTATGGTGTCAAAACAGGAACAGTACTAGGCTTAGGTATATTTGGTTACATGCACTACATGAGAGCTTTTTTTTTTACAAATTAGGCAATATGAATGTGGTTGGTATATTTGCTGAATGAATCCTAATAAAAGCACAAGCACTATGTTAGTTTAAATTCTCCATAGGACAAGATATTTGGATGCAGTTGTAAAGATTCAACTACTATTGGGCCCTAATAAAGAATTGCATAGTTCTATGCACAAAAGCAAACCTTCTTCTTTACAGATAACATAGGGTTGCAGTGAATCTTTCAGAAATCATGAGCTCAATTTAACTGATATGATACAATCAATCTATGCAGTAACTATAAAAGAGTTTAATGAATTTTACAATTCACGTGATAGAGAGTTACTGAATCTGACTCCTGATCCATCTACCATATCCACCTGTTTTTCACACTGCTGAGATTTGAGGGACTTCTAGTATGGTAGAAAAAAAAAATATATATATATATATAATTTTGTCAACCAATTACTAAAATAATTTTCATAGAAAAAATATATAAATGTAACAGGAAAAATTCTCCAAATATATAAAAAAATTATAAAAATAACATTTATTTATCACAAATAAAATATAATAAACATATTACTATGCAAACATTAATAGAACCACTATAAAATAAGCAAATTCAATTTCAAAACAATATAATTTTGCTAGGGTACTTTCACCTTTTTAATTGCATATAGCAAACATGAAACTACTTTCCATGAAAAAATTTGAATTTAGACCAGCCAATATTAATTCTAAAAAGTAGTGCAAATCTGGGAGATGTGAAAGATGTAGCAATTACTTCTTTTCACTGCATTTAAGCTCCATTTTTAAATTATGTCCCTGTGATACATTATAGAACAGTGGTGTCCAACTTAGAAGGCACCAAAAGCCACATTTGTATTCATAATTTAAAAGGGGGACAACATCTAAATCAATTTTTTTTCTTACAGTGACCTATTCAAAAATACCATGCTACAGACATACATATTGTAATAAAACCAAAATGATATACTTTAATAGGAATAACCCCTTTCAGAAAGCTTCAATATCCATGCACCTATGTACTGACACTGGCATTAGTGACATCCATAATAACCCTCAGCATTGGCGTCAGTGGCATCAATAACAACCCCCCCATCTTCATTGCTGTTAATGGCAGTCATTTTTAATAGCCCCCTCCTTCACTGGTATCACTGGCAGCTATAATATACCCCCAATCATTGTCAGTAGTAATAATCCTCCTTCTTTACTGGTATCACTGGCAGTAATAAATACCCCCCTTTTAATGGTGTTAGTAGCAGTAATAAAAAAACACTCTTGTTGTATAATGGCAACTCACTTGAGCACATGTTCATACACTACTTCCTCCATCCCAGATTATGTTGGTACTATACTATCCCTATCAGGCAGGTGATTGTTTACTTTGAGTGTTGGGTGCTGGAAAACAAAAAGTGTTCCAACACTTTCAGCACTCCACTGCCACTCTACTTTGGCTGAAGCTGGGACCTTGCAGGCTGCAAAAAAAGTCCCCAAGAGCTACCAGTTGGACAGCCCTGTTATAGTATATAATGACATATTCTGTGGTAGATCTTGGGTGGCAATATGTATTGTAGACTAGGGAAAATAAACCATGAACCAGAGATTTTTTTTTACAAGATGTACAGATTTCTTCATGTATATGAGTATTTGTAGTTGAATTTAACACTAATTTTGTGGAAATTGAAAATACTGTAAAAAAATAATCAGAGCTTGCTGCATTTTGCTGCATCGTTTACTTGCTGCAAAACTTGTTACAGTTAAAAAAATAATATTTTTTTTAACTCTCTTGTTCTATCAATATAAATGATAAATATAGTTTAAATAAAGCTGGATCAACTGCCCTTCCCCATCCTCTCCTTCCTATGTATATTCCCCACTAATGATATCAGAAAAGCCTCCTTCAATAGGCATGCACTGGATCAGGTGTCTGTTCAGACCTCTTTACCAAAGCTGTGAGACACTGTGTATTACATATTTGTAACCATTTATCTATAGATGTTTATAGAGAAGCTGTCTGGTTGTATCCTGGTATGCATCATATTGTTATTAAAATTCTGGCCTGACGTCTTTGTTTACTGAAATGAGATCACATGTATATATGAAAAATATCTTTGCTTATTATACCTTTGGGGGGAACTACAGTTTTGCCATGAGAGGAGACCCCTGCACTGTTCTGTCACTTGTTAAGGTAAAACAAATACAAACATTTGTAGTAAAATGGCATGGTTCCTTACCCCTTTTATGTAATATTGGATAGTATATATCTATGCTAGAAATAAGAAAAAATATTTCACCAGTTAAATGGGTTCCTAAAAAACAATTGCATTGCAAGAACTATTATTATTTCAGGTTTATAAGTACTTTTGGTTATGAGACAGAACTGTAACAATACATACATTCTTTTAATAGGGGCCATTATAACAAATTTGGAAAATAGGAAAGCAAAACTGGTCATTTAACACAATAATGATGTTTTTATACTACAAGAACACTCCAGTAATCTTTGTCCATATTTATTTGATTGTTCTCTTATTTATTATATCTAGTAGTTCACATCAGTATATGTATTCATAAACCACATTTGTTTTATTTTACAGGCTGATGCACAGTAAAAGAACACCGTACAAAATACAATGATTGAATCACGCATTTAAACTGACATCAACATTTGGATTTGCATTCTATAAATTATTTTATCAACATGAAATGGGCTCCACAAAAAAAGTAACCTGGATGTTACAGATGGCAGTAATACAAATAAGGCAATAATTTCTGTGGCTTATTTGATCGAAAGGATTTGGTTTATCCTGGCTGAAGTCAACTATTTGTTGGTTTTCCTCTCTACCTGGGAGATATCACCTTTGCTGATGTTGATGTAAACGATGTCGAGACCAAAGGGATTACTATGGTTGCCTTTGATCTTCACTCCTGTCTGTGTTGTTGTAAACTCAAACTTGCTACTATGGATTACAGCCTTTGCTGTACGATTTACAATAATAGATGGCCAAGCACAGCATCCAGTTGTACCTACGAACTATGGCAAGATACGTGGCACAAGAACATCTTTATCTATTGAGATTCTTGGACCTGTAGAGCAATATTTAGGGGTTCCCTATGCTGCACCACCTACTGGAGAAAGGCGTTTCCAACCCCCTGAACCACCTTCATCGTGGACTGGTATCAAGAATGCAACCCAGTTTGCTCCAGTATGTCCACAATTTCCAGATGAAAGATCATTATTAAATGATATGCTCCCTGTATGGTTTACTGCCAATTTAGACACAGTTGTAACATATGTTCAGGATCAAAGTGAAGATTGCCTATATTTAAACATCTATGTGCCAACTGAAGATGGTAAGTTTTCTGCTGCCCATAATTGCATGATCTAAAATTATCTATACATCTATCTATCTATCTATCTATCTATCTATCTATCTATCTATCTATCTATCTATCTACCAAAACAAACATGCATTATTTCATAATTAATTTTTATCTGTGTAGCATTTTTGACCGATTTACAGTGTTTTATTTTTAGTATCTTATTTCCGCTTTAATAATTTAGTTATATACACATAACATATATATATAGATATATTGCATATTTATATGGTGAAGCTAATCATATTATTATACAGGATTTTCATAACACCAACAGTTTCCAAGGGGAGATGCAGTTACAATACAACTCAATATAAGATGGACTTGCTTGTGAGAGCTTACAATCTGTGATTTGCATTTTACAGCTGGATTATATGTCTCCAAATGTTGTTTCATACAGCACCCACCTCCTTTGAAATTCAGTTTGTCAGCCTTTGCTGTACGATTTACAATAATAGATGGCCAAGCACAGCATCCAGTTGTACCTACGAACTATGGCAAGATACGTGGCACAAGAACATCTTTATCTATTGAGATTCTTGGACCTGTAGAGCAATATTTAGGGGTTCCCTATGCTGCACCACCTACTGGAGAAAGGCGTTTCCAACCCCCTGAACCACCTTCATCGTGGACTGGTATCAAGAATGCAACCCAGTTTGCTCCAGTATGTCCACAATTTCCAGATGAAAGATCATTATTAAATGATATGCTCCCTGTATGGTTTACTGCCAATTTAGACACAGTTGTAACATATGTTCAGGATCAAAGTGAAGATTGCCTATATTTAAACATCTATGTGCCAACTGAAGATGGTAAGTTTTCTGCTGCCCATAATTGCATGATCTAAAATTATCTATACATCTATCTATCTATCTATCTATCTATCTATCTATCTATCTATCTATCTATCTACCAAAACAAACATGCATTATTTCATAATTAATTTTTATCTGTGTAGCATTTTTGACCGATTTACAGTGTTTTATTTTTAGTATCTTATTTCCGCTTTAATAATTTAGTTATATACACATAACATATATATATAGATATATTGCATATTTATATGGTGAAGCTAATCATATTATTATACAGGATTTTCATAACACCAACAGTTTCCAAAGGGAGATGCAGTTACAATACAACTCAATATAAGATGGACTTGCTTGTGAGAGCTTACAATCTGTGATTTGCATTTTACAGCTGGATTATATGTCTCCAAATGTTGTTTCATACAGCACCCACCTCCTTTGAAATTCAGTTTGCAGAATATAATTATCTTTTTTTTTTACCTATGACTTACAATATAGTTTCTTATAATTTTATAGACAAGGGGGTATGTGATTTTTAGTGGGGGGGGTTTTCTTCAAATATCTGCAGTTTTCCTGCCTTTTCTTAATCTTTCCTATAATCAGTCAGTTTGTCAATGTGTAAAACCTAATTTACATTAACAACACATTGATTCTATATTAATTAGATACAATAGATTAATAAAGCCTAATGCAATCAATGCATTTCTGTTTTACCGGGCTGAACTGAAATTGAAATTTTCAGTTACATATAGCATCTACTTTTATGTGTAATTTTTTGTTTTCGTTTTAGTATGCTATATAAATCAGGTTTTAAAACACCCATTTCACCTTAAATTTAAATAAACATGTACATATTTTAACTTAACTTAAAGAATATTGCTGGTGTTGTATTAAATGTCCCAAAATGTTATAACGTATTCAGTGAAAAAATAAATAATTTCTCTTAAACAACATTTAATAATATGTGACAACTAACTTTGAATAATTGTTCTATTTGTTAATGTTTTTGAGGATAAGATAATAGTGTTTTTTGCAATGCCTTTATCTGTAAATGTGAGGCTGTAAGTGTCCATCTGATTAGTAAACAGCAAAGTGACATATTTCTTTTCTAGAATTTGAGATAAGAACAATAAAAACAGCAAGGGGTATGGAAAGGCTGGCAATTGTTGTCCATACAATCTGATTAAACACATTACATATCGTTACATGACAGTTTCCCGACAGAAAAAACTTGGTTACTATGGAGACAGACTGTGAAATGTGCTTTTAATGTCAAAGGTCTGAATGTGACACTTTGAGTTAAATTCACATTACTAGCTTATTTTGAAACAAAAGTTATAAAAATTTGTTTTTTTGTAGGTTTTTTTAAACAGAACAATAAAACCAAATTAATAATCTGTGTATCACATCTCTGCACATGTTATCAGAAAGCAGAATGTGTTATAAAACCAATAGTTTGTTTTTAGCTACATGCCATGTTTGCCTTGTGTTATAATTAATAATTTTTAATTAGTTATAGTTGGTAATTGATAGAGTTGCTTTATAATTTTCATATGTTTTTAGATTTTTTTAAGCCAAGGATGACAAATTCTATTCTGTCAGTCAAAGCATTATCAGTAAAAAAGGAGTTGATTTCCCACATTTGTGCAAAACTGAAAATCTATTTGTAATGCTTGTCATTCCCCACAGTAAGAATTATTGAGAGGGGATTAAAATAACATAATCACTACTGTGTTGCTAGGAAGAGAGAAAAAAATGTGTTTTCTATAACAGTGGAACCTATTTTGAAGTTTTTTTCTCATTTTAAATATTTGGATCTGTAACATTAGTAATATTGGGGGGCAAATCTTTTGTAAAGACTAAATAAAATGGTATGATTGAGTGCTAAAATGAGAAAGAAAGAAAGAAAGATAGATAGATAGATAGATAGATAGATAGATAGATAGATAGATAGATAGATAGATATTGTCATACGTAGGAATGTGCTTGGTCATTTAATTTCACCTAAAAATTAACTTTTTTTGCCAAAGTAGAAACTCTTTATTTAATTAACTAAGCTACTTAGACCACAGGTTTATTTTTTCATGCATAATACACCTAAGTATTTGATTTTTTTTATTGTTTTATTAATTTTATATTTTTCTTTACTTCTGTAAAGAAAAAAAATGAGGCTGAAAAAGTGTCCATTTGTTGACATAAAAAATGTCCTGCTCTACCTATCAAGGGTCTGGTAAGGTATTTTGGGGGGACCCTACACTGTTTTTTTAATTTATTGTGAATGTGAATAACTCAATGTTTTTTGTTTGTTTTTTTGGCGTTGGGTCCCTCCTAAAATTCCAATCAGACCTATAGAGTCTGATATGAATTTGGGGGACCCACACTGTTTTTTTAACATTTATTGTGAATGTGAATAACTCAATTTGAATAGATCCAAAAACAAAATATTGGATCCAAATTCCAAATAACAAAAATTGGACTGATCCGAATTTTGAGAAAAAAAACAAATCTGAATGGATCCAAAATGAAAACAAAACAACGTTTCTGGTGGCTTACATGTCCAGTACCTCCCTAACTTCCATTTGCAGAATGTATACACAATCTGTCACTGAAGCATTGACTAATGCACATATTGCAGCATTACATAGACTTTTTACTGTAGGAGAAAACCAGCAGAAAACAACCCTTTTTTAATAAAATTATTACAGACTCTTTTACTTAAAATTGTAAACACCATTGGCCATATTCAGTGACTCTATATTCAGCGTTGAAATAAATTGATATTTGATAAAAATGACACAAAGTATGCAGTGTTTCATTCCAAAAATCCATATTTAAATGTATACGTGTAACAGAAAAAGGAAGAAATATGGCACAGACTACATAAACAGCATTGTAGCAGTTTGAGTAGGCTGCACTTTCGCATTTTTTACTGGAAAAACAAAAGACTGTTGTACATTTTGCATCGTTGAGATAGCCACCCACACCTGTGCTCCTGCTTTCGGTGACCTTACGATCCTAGGCATGTTGGCCATAAAAAGGGATCCTGACACTTTCTGTAAAGGTGGCCAAGAGGTTCTTCCGCAACACCTCTTCCAAGTGGTACATGTTTTGCTCCTTCTGGGATGACAGGGTGAGGTCTGCAATTTTCACCTTGTATTGGGGATCCAAACGTCCCCCTCCTTCATGGCCCAAATCCTGGGTTCCTTACACAGACACAGCAGCATGAATGAGCCCTTTCACCAAAAATATCCTGGGGTAGTTGACCCTGACTCCTTGTGTCACTGAGAACAACGATGTCCTCAATGATCTCACCACTCCCATGGTGAACTCTAACTATTTCCCCCTACTCTGGAAGTCTAATCTATTCCCATCTCCTCATTGCCAGCACCCCAGTCATCCTCCTTATACTCCTACTCTACCTGCTGCTGCCTAACAGGGATAAAGTATGTTGTGAAAGGATATCACAGACCCTGAGACACCATCAAGCTCTTCTCTTCCCATGCGGCTGTGCCTCAAGTGCCTGGACTTTTATTCATGCAGTGTGCTTCAGCAGCAACACCAGTGGAATTGTGTCATTGATCATGGCTCATCATTTTGGACACCTTTTTGAATAGAGACAACATGGTACATGCATCCTGACTCAGGAGGAGCAACTGAAGTGTAGTGTAAACTTCCCAAGATCTTGATCTTGTCCCATACTTGCATGTTGTGTTCCAGCATGCAAATGTTTTACATATCAAGTGGTTGGCAGGCAACCTTTATTGCTACTGTAGAGCTTTATAACTAAGGTAGCCAACTAGGAACAGGTGCACTACCAGGTTGAGAACATGTGCCAGGCAACGCACACAGATGAGCTTTCCCTACCAAAGGGTGGACATCAGGTTGGTTCCATTGTCGACCTTGCCTGGCACAAGATTGCATGGGGCCAGACACCTCTTGCCCTGCCATCAAGAGCAGCTAGAACCTCTAGCCCAGTGTGGATCTTGTTCCCCAGGCATACCAGCTAAAAAACAGCATTACAGCATTTTTACTAGCTGTTGTTTAGGCCCTTGGGCATTTGGGAGAGATTGGTGGCTCTGAGGAATCAGAATATGAGGCCATTGATGAAGAGGGGGTAGATGTGACTGAGCTGTACCCATAATCAAGTTGCAGGACATGGGGTGA